TCAAGGCGATTTGCCCTTATATCCCCCAATACATCAGACTGCAGAATCTCAATTAGCCACAGGCACTGGTATAATAGACCGTCCACCTTACTTTGGCACCAACAGAGTACCTCCTAGCAAACGCACTACTCTGCAAACCAACATGCCAATGGACTTTAAGCCAGATCCGGCATTGAATGCCTTAGCAGCAACATATGTTCCCAAGTCACTCCACGTAAGTCCACCAACCTTCACAACCAACTCTGTTCCACCTGCAATCATGCACCCAAAATCAGAAAACATGGACATGTCACAGTTTTAAATACATGCTCAGCAGAGAGCTTGTTAAGACAGGCCTCACCAAGTTTGATGATAAGCCTGAAAATTACAGAGGCTGGAAATCCACTTTTAAGGCCACGAGTGCCACAGAGGAATTAGATCTACTCATCAGATCGCTAGGTCTCCAGTCCACTGAATGCATCAAGAGGCTCAAAGCAGTTCATATTGACAACCCTGCTGCGGCCTTAATGCTGCTTGGGGCAGACTTGAACATACCTTTGGCAGCCATTGAAGAAGCTTTATTCAAAAGGTTGCAAAGCTTCCCAAGGATTTCTGCTAACGACAATCTAAAGTTTCAAGAACTCAGCGATGTTTTATTAGAGCTTCAGCTTGCTAAGGCTGACATCAACTTACCTGGTCTCAGTTACCTTGACACCTCTCACGGCATCAAATCTATTGTTCTCAAGCTACCATATGGAATTCAAGAAAGATGGGCAGCGCTTGGATCAAAGTATAAGGAAGAACAGAGTTGCATTTCCTCCTTTTTCCTACATCTGCGAGTTCATCAAAAGAATTGCAGGCACTAAGAATGACCCAAGTTTCTCATATGGGGACTGTAACCTTCTCAGTACACTCTCTCCAAGACCTACAAACACATGTACTGTATGTCACACAAAGACCATAGAGGTCCAGTGTTCAGTAAAAAGGACTAATGTTCTACCTTTGCCTGTTACAGTTCTTGAAAAGACTGATCAAGACAAGAAAATTGAGGACCCAAATCGGCAATGTCCAATACATAACAAACCACATCCACTTAAGAAATGTATCGGCTTCAAAAAGAAAACCCTCCAAGAACGTAAGGAACTTTTTTGAAGAAATTTGGGGTTTGCTACAAATGCTGTGCCTCCACAGAACACTTTGCAAAGGACTGTAAAGCGATCATCAAATGTATAGAGTGTGACAGTGATGACCATGTACAAGCTCTTCATCAATATTTGCACAACTCTACTACACTCACAAACAATCTTCCTGAGGTAAAGCAAGGTGGGGAGCGCCAAGATCAAGCAGCAGCTACCACCCCAGCATTCTCTACATGTACAGAGGTCTTTGGAGAAGGATTCTGCAACAAATCCTGTGCAAAGATATGCTTGGTACGTGTATACCCCAAAGGTCAACCTGAAAAGGCCATAAGACTGTATACTATTCTGGATGATCAGAGTAACAGATCTCTTGCAAGAACTCAGTTTTTTTAACTGTTGAACATTACTGGAGATGCTCTGCCTTATACTCTAAGCACTTGTTCCGGCACTACAGAAGTCTTAGGTAAGAGAGCCAGTGGTCTTGTAGTTGCTCCTCTGAATGACAATGTGGAAATATTTTGCCCACTATCACTGAGTGCAACCAGCACCAAAGAGGAGGTCCCTACGCCTGAAGCTGCTTTTCACCATTCTCACTTAAAGTACTTAGCCAACCAAATACCAGCCCTCGATGAAAGTGGTGATATCCTGCTGTTACTCAGTAGAGACATCTTAAGGGTGCACAAAGTTCATCATAAAATCAACGGTCCACACAATGCACCATGTGCTCAGCGTCTGTACCTAGGATGGGTCATCATAGGCAATGTCTGCCTAGACAAGGACAGGAAGTCCTACTCAGTCCCTTCCTTTAAAACACATGTCCTGTCAAATGGGCGAACAACTTGTTCTGCACAACGACCACATAAATATATCGTGAAAGAAAGACTGTTTGAAAAAAGTGCACAACAACAGCACATCATACAAGACAATAAGAAGCTCTTAATCTCTGGGATGACAACATCGGCAACACTGTGTTCAAGGTAACCACTACAGACAATGAGTTGGCAGCCACCATAGAAGACAAAGAATTCTTGAAAACCATGAGTAAAGAGTTCTACCAAGATGATTCCAACAGTTGGGTAGCACCTCTACCATTTCGTACCCCAAGAAAGAGACTACCAAACAATAGGGTACACACAGAATCACGGTTTGTTTCTTTAAATTGCAGTTTGAACCAGAAGCCTGAGATGAAAAAGCACTTTGTGGACTTCATGCAGAAGGAGTTTGAGAGAGATCATGCTGAACCTGCACCTCCTCTTACGGAAGGCGAAGAATGTTGGTACCTACCATGCTTTGGTGTCTACCATCCTTGCAAGCCTGATCAGATTAGGGTGGTCTTTGTCTCAAGTGCTCATCATGAAGGCATCTCCCTCAATGACAATCTTCTCACTGGGCCTAATCTGAACAACAATCTCATAGGAGTTTTACTTCGCTTCAGATAAGAGCCAATTGCTGTTATGGCTGACATTCAGCAGATGTTCCTCTATTTCATCATCCATGTAGACTACAGAAACTTCCTCAGGTTCCGATGGTACCACAATAATGATGTCAATGATGAAGTCATAGACTACCGAATGAAGGTACATGTCCTTCTCCTGCAGTAGCAATTTATGGACTGAGGAAAACAGCTCAAGAGGATGAGAAAGAATTTGGATCTGATGCAAGACAGTTCATCGAAAGGAATTTCTATGTAGCCGAAGGAACTGAAATCTCTGCCCAAGGAAGAAGAAACTATTGACCTTCTCATTAGAACCCAGAACATGCTTGCCACTGAGAACCTTCACAAAATCATCTCTAACAGCAACAAGGTCATGATAGCTTTTCCTTTAGATGACTATGCTGTCAGTGTGAAGAAATTCCAACTAGGATCTGACCTTTCTGTTACACAACACAGTCTTGGATTGCTTTGGAATGTTAAACAAGACACATTCACATTTCAAGCATCAGCTTGTGACAAACCCTTCACAAAGTGAGGAGTTTTGTTTATAGTGAACAGCATTTATGATCCCGTAGGTTTCATTACACCTCTCACCATTCAGGGTAATATACTGCTGAGACAACTTACTTCTAAAAGCTCAGACTGGGATACCCCTTACCCAAGGAGAAACAACAAAGGTGGGAATCCTGGAAACAGTCTCTAAAAGCATTAGAACAACTGCAGATACCACGCTCTTACACCCAAGCATCCTTAAAGAATGCCATCAGAAGAGAGATTCATGTCTTCTCCGATGCATCCAACAAAGCCATTGCTGTGGTGGCTTATCTTCAAGCTACGGATCCCAGCGGTGAAATAGGTAGGATTTATCATGGGCAAGACCAAGCTCACACCCAAACCTGCACATACTATTCCAAGGCTTGAACTTTGTGCAGCTGTGTTAGCTGTGGAAATTGCTGAGCTATAGAACTTGAAACAAATGTTGAAATAGACTCCTTTGACTTTTATACAGACAGCAAAATAGTGCTAGGATATATACACAATCGCACAAGACAGTTCTATGTGTATGTCCGCAAGAGAGTGGAACACATAAGGAAGTTCTCTACACCTGAACAATGGCACTATGTTCCCACTAGTCTCAACCCTGCTGACTGTGGCAGTCGTGCAGTACCTACTACTGCATTTCGGGACACATCTTGGCTATATCCACCATGAAAGAGGTTCTGCACACCTTTACTCCAGGCCTATAAAGGAACTAGTACTTATTTTGCCCATAGAGAAAGACAAGTCATCAACTTGATTTAAAGGGAGGTAAGAAGGAATAGTGCATGTTGCTGCCTTTCCCTCTGAATATGGATTTTCATGTCTCAGCCTAGACTTTCGAGACCAACATCTGCTAGTATTATGCTAAATGGTTGCATTGTTTTCCTTTGTTCTTCCTTTGCCTCTTGTTTTGTAGATGTTCCTGGAAAGAAACTTCATTACTTATATGGGACTTGAACTAAAGTTTAATTTAATAGAAATCATAGATTTTGATGGGGAGTGTCATGTTTCACATGACTGTAATATGCCTTTAAGTGTTCTCTGTAATTTGTCTCTGCTTTCCCTTTCCTTTGGTTTAGTTAATGCTGTATAGATAGCCCACCCTTTTTACTAGTAAGGCATTGTGGCTTCTAGCCTCATGTCATGAAGCAAGGCACATTATGATTTTTTGACCTATCAGATGTTCATTGTTGTAAGATTCTCTCAGTTCATGGAATAAACTTCACAAGAGCTACAAGATGTCTTCTGTATTGAGTCACTGCCTGTGATATTCAACTAAGATTGGAGTTATCGCTATCAAATCATAACTGTAAGTTACAGAGATCACACTTTCAATGCTTAGATTGGAGATGAACAGGTATGTAAAGTGAAAAAATGAAATGCAGAAGGAATAAAGAAATGAGATAGAAAAGGAAAAATAAAGCACAACGATAAAAAGAAAATGTATGAGAAAATGTGCAGAAAGTATATGTGGAAAATAAACGTAAGAAATAAAAACAAAGAATAAAGAAGTTGAAAAAATAAAAAATACTAAAAAAAAATGAATAAACCAATCAGGGGTACTTATATGAAAAAGGGGAGAAAAACTAAAAAATAAACAGGAATGAAAATCAAAAAAGTGAAGACAGAAACAATGTGTGCATATGTGTATGTACTTTGTTATGAAAGATGCTTTTAAAATTAATACTTTAACCACCTACTGCCCGCCATATAGTAATATGATGTGCGCAAGGTGGCTCTCTTGTTCTGGGAGGACGTCATATGACGTCCTCCCATTCTCACTGCACATGTGCGGCTCAGGAAGCGCGCAGCGCGGCGATCGACGGCGCGCTGTGTCCCTCGGACACAGCGGATCACCAATCGCGGAAAGAGCCGAAGATGGCGGCTCGGTCATGTGATCAGCTGTGTCCAATCACAGCTGATCACATGTAAACAGGGAAATGCCGGTTATCGGCATTTCTCTCCTCTTGAGCTGTCACGCTGACAGCTCAGGAGGAGAGGAGAGCCGGTGATCGGCTTTCCACGGAGGGGACATGTACACTGATCATCAGGGCACTGATGATCAGTGTGCCCTGATGATCAGTGTGGCCCCAGAAGTGCGACCTGTCAGTGTCCATCAGTGCCAGCAATCAGTGCTCATCAGTGCCTCGTGCCAGTGCCCATCAGTGCCTACCAGTGAACATCAATGCCACATATCAGTGCCCATCTGAGCTGCCTTTCAGTGTCACCCATCAGTGCCAGTCAGTGCCACCTATCAATGCCAATCAGTGCCACCTATCAGTGCTACCAATCAGTGCCACCTATCAGTGCCAGTCAGTGCCACCTATCAGTGCCAGTCAGTGCTGCCTATCAGTGCACATCAGTGCCGCCTATCAGTGCCAGTCAGTGCTGCCTAACAGTGCCAGTCAGTGCCACCTAACGGTGCCAGTCAGTGCCGCCTATCAGTGCTGCCTATCAGTGCCATGTATCAGTGCTGCCTTTCAGTGCCCATCAGTGATGCCTGTCAATGCCTATCAGTGCCTCCTCATCAGTGCCCATCTGTGCCACTTATCAGTTGCCATCAGTGCAGCCTATCAGTGCCCATCACTGCAGCCTCATTAGCGCACATCAATGAAGGAGAAAAATCACTTATTTACAAAATTTTATAACAAAAACTAAGAAAAAAAATTTTTTTTTTCAAAATTTTCAGTGGTTTTGGGTTTGTTTAAGAAAAAATAAAAAACCCAAAGGTGATTAAATACCACCACAATAAAGCTCTATCTGTCACAAAAAATTTATAAAAATTTCATATAGGTACAGTGTTGCATGACTGCGCAATTGTCATTCAAAGTGCAACAGCGCTGAAAGCTGGAAATTGGGCTGGGCAGGAAGGGGGTATATGTGCCCAGTAGGCAAGTGGTTAAAAATATATGTATTTATAATCAAAAAAGAAAAGAAAAAAAGATGAAAAAACAAAGAAAAGAAGAAAAATAAGATGTTTGGATTAAAAAGTGTGAGAATGAAATGTGAAAAATAAAAAAGTGAAAAATGTAAACATAAAAAAAATAATTATTATAAAAAATAAAGAAAAAAAAAACTGTTATATAAAAACGCAAGAGTCTGCTGTCCTACTCAGGGACATTATATAGGACATAATGAGAGTTAAAAAAATCTATATACCAATATCCTTTGATCTTGGTCTTAGTTTTTATTTCTTTTTTTATGGAACGAAAAGAAAAAAAAAGAGCTGGGAAGCTGTCTACAATCCTGATGTTATTCATAAAAGTGAGTGACATCCCACTCAAAATGTAGTCCTTTGGGTATCTGAGTCTCAAGTCTGAATATCCAAAATTCTTCCCTCTTGGAGAGGAGAGAGAAATTATTTCCTCCTCTGTTGTGTTGATCTATGCTTTCTAAGACTTGCACTCTGAGGGAAGGGATATCTGAAATATGATGTATTCTGAAGCATCTAGAAACATTGGTTTCTTTGTTTGTTTTTATATTGGACAAATGATCCTGCATTCTGTGGTACAGGCATCTGGTTGTACGACCCACATATTGTACATTACATATCTGGCACGTTATGACATAGATCACATACCTAGTCTGAAAGTTAACAAGTTGTATAATATGGTGATCATTGCCATTGGCACATGAGGAAATGGTATGGGGATCCCCTGGAAAGTGACAGCTAGAACACCGTGTAGCATTGCATTTAAAAAAAAACCTGTGGTATGTAGCCAGGTGTGTTCAGGTTGTCTTGAAAGGAACAGACTTGATGAAATTACATTGCCTATTGTCTTAGCTCTTCTGGCTACAAACCTCACATCATTAGAAAGAATAGTTTTATAGTCAGGGTCCCCATGTAAGATGGGTAAGTATTGAGATATGAGTGCATTTGATATATTGGTATTGATTACTGTACTGCTTTGAAAAAACAGACGTAGGACTTGCCTTAGTTTTCTTTCTATTTTTTCTTGAAGCTTTTCTGTTGCTAAGTAGATCTTTTTGGGGTGTGTTCTTCACTGCTTGATAGGCTTTCAAATCGAGATGTTTATTATAGCCTCGTTCCAAAAACATGTCTTCTATATTTTTAGCATGGATTTCGAATTCCTTCATGAGGGAAACATTCTTTTTGTTACTGGTAAACTGCCCTTTAGGAATAGCATGAATGACATGTTTCAGATGACAACTGGATGTGTGGAATATGGAGTTCTTTCATGTAGGTTTTCTGTTACAGTAACTTGTTGCAATTGTGAAGAGCCCAATAGGGTAACATCCAAGTAACTGATGGACATGGGTTGTTCTTCTGTAAAACCCAAGTTCCAGGTGTTGGTATTCAGGTACATGAGAAAATCTTTAAACGGTACGTCCTTGTCCACTATAAAAATCAGATCATCAATGTAACGAAAATATACCTTGATTAGATGTCTATAAGGGTTTGAGGTACTGTAAATGAACTGTTCCTTCCCATGTAGAGGTTGGCATGTGTGGGTACAAACCGGGCTCCCATTGAGCATCCTTGTGTCTGTAGATAGAACTTCTGATTGAATAGAAAAAAAAATATGTTTTAACAAAAAATATACACTTTTCAAGACAAACCACTTCATCTCTTGATTATAACCGGTGTATAGTGATGCTTTAAGGCTCGAAGGATGAAGTTGTGTGGTATACATGAATATAATGATTGTACATCACAGGTTAGCCACTTCAAATTCTCCGTCCAGGAGAAATCTTCAAGAACCTGGATAATATGTTTTGTATCTCGAATATAAGATGGTAATCGAGTTAGAAAAGGTTGAAGTAAACTGTCCATGAGATTTCCCAAAGGTTCTCCAAGGGAGCCTATACTTGCAACTATGGGCCTCCCCTTTGAGGGTAACTCCGTCTTATGTACCTTAGGCAATTGATGGAAAATGGGGATTACTGGGTATTCAGGTACATTTTCTTGCTTTATTGGGTTTTAATATATTCAGACTTGTAGCTTCTCATATGATGTTATTCAATTCTTGTTTATATAGAGGCGTAGGATCCATGCTAAGAGGCTCATATACTTGTCTTACAGTTAGCTGTTGCAATGCTTCTTGATGGTAATCAGTGGAGTTCAACACTACCACCGCTTCCCCTTTATCTGCTTGATGGTAATTTTAGAATTCTCCTTGAGGGATTGGAAGACTATCTTCTTATTTCGATTCATATTGGATGTAGCATGTCTTGGAGACCTTTCTATCTCCCATGCTAGAGAGACAAGTTCTTGTTCAATAAGTTTTTGAAAGAGAGCCATATTCTCACCTCTTGATTGCACTGGATAAAAATCGAGGCGTTGCGTTGAAGTGACATCCAGACATTTTGGGGTCTTAATCTTATCCACCGTTAGAATCCCTGAATAGCCTTGATTATCTAAAGAGCTCATATTATGTAGAATATCATGTAGAATTTGGAAGTCAAATTCATTCTGATGGGTCTCTGGATCCTGTTGAACCTGTAAAGAATTATGTGTGCAGTAAATGTTTTCTGAGTGTGAGACACTGTACAAAATGATTTATATCAATAAATGTTTAAAATAAGTCAAAGTCCTGTGATGGTGCAAAATTTAAACTTCTTGATAATACTGCCTTCCGCTGACAGTGCATAATCAGAATAGTTCATGACCAAATTTATTGAGGACCGATGAGACTTCTTGATGCCCCGACACATGTTTTTTCTTCTTCTTGTCTTTTTGCTAACCATTTTTCCACCCTTTGTTTTTGTTCTTGGGAGGATAGTACTTTTTTGGCCGGGGCGAGTCACTATCCTCTGAAAAAGTGTCTTTCAGTTTCCTCTGCCTGTCCTGTGTGCCCGATGTAGATGAGGACGAGGAAGCACAAGTTGCCTCTGCTTCAGTCTCCAAAAAGCTGACCCTCTTGGGAGTTGTGACTGGTGTTGATGCTGTCCTGGGGATGGAATATCTGGATTTTCCTGAAGTATTGGATCTATTCTGTGATCCTGGAGTAATCCATTAATAAACTGTACCCTCCTCATAATCTAATTTGTCTCTTAAAAATTATACTCTTTTTCTTTTCATTATATCCTCTTCAAGAGTATTCAGAGACTTGATAATTTTGGTTTCTCTTGTTTGAAAATCAGGCTGGCTGTGGAATCTCACTAGATTGTGCTGGCACTGTGTGATTTCATTAGTAATGGTTTTAAGCTATTGTTTCTTGTGTTCCACTATGAGTTTGATTAGTTTAAACAAGCTTTCATCTAGGACTTGGGTCCAATTGGTTCTAAAATCTTCATCCTCAATTTGGAAGGAGGGGAACCTTTTTATTCTTAGACCTCTTGGGGTCCTCTTCTCCTTTTAATATTTTTCAAGGAATGCTACATCCCACCATAGGTGGGTTTCTGTGGCCGATAAACATTGTAATTTGTGGAATGTCATCTCATAAGTTTCCTTGTCATTTGATATCTTCAGCTGAAAAGACTGTTTTGCTTTTAATATTCTCTTCCATTTTCCTAGTGACTGTGTCCCTAAAATGTGGTGACAGCGGGAACTGGGCAATGATTAAGCTTAAACGTTACTAAAGGATTACGTTGGATTAAAAAAACTGCACCATGCTTAAAACTGGTCACTACTGGGAAATGTCAAAAGAGCTGTCAAAAGATAACAGGGACAAGATTGTAGACCTGCACGAGGCTGAAATGGGCTACAAGACCATCAGCAAGAAGCTTAGTGAGAAGGAGAAAACTGTTGGATTGATTATTTGCAAGTGGAAGAAATACAAAAGAACCACTAATCCCCCTCGGTTTGGAGCTCTATATAAGGTTTTGCCTCATGGGATAAGCATGATCATGAGAAAAGGAAGGGATCAGAACAGAACTACATGGGAGGAGCTTGTGAATGATCTCAAGGCAGTTGTGACCACAGTCACCAAACAAACCGTTCAACAGTAACCAGAAACCAGCGCTCAAATCTCTCCTGCTACACTCAAAATGGAACCCAGCACTTGCTGAGGTGCTGCACTTGGTAGATCAGGGAATCTTGATACTAGCAGAAAAGAACAAAACAGGGCGCACTCTCCTCGTGCATTACTGTGATAATATGAAATCTATTATAAAAATACAAATGCATACTCACAAGCCAAAAAGCTCAAACAACAGGGACAAGGAGTCAAAGGATGCCAGTTATGGACAGCATAGGTCCTCGGGTAAAGTGCTAACACATATTGGGGGTCAAACTCCCTTCCTCAGAGCAATAGATGAAAACACAATGCATGAGAAAGATTCTTATGTATAGGACTAAATGGCAGTGAGAACCCTGGCCACTCCCCCTCTGTTCAAAAAGTGGGGCAGGCTCCTGCAAGTAACGCCAAAAAAAAAATGTAACTATTCCAAGTGGGAGACATTGACTATAGTGCGGCAATCAATAAATAATCAATAGACTAAGAAATAGCAATAGGCAATGGTAATGGCAAAAGATGGCAATGAAATAGGAACAAATGGCAATAAAAAGTACTTACCAGATGGACTGATCGAGACCGTATGGGAAATAATGTATTATAAATGAGCATAAATGTAACTATAG